TATATTAAAAGATACAAAAAAAACTCCTGGAATGCAATTAGTAACTTCTCAGTAGCTAAGCAGAATGTGACAGAATAATGTGCAGATTTAACACATGACATCCCCCAGCTAAACAGATGTTCAAAAGCTCAAATACACAGGGCCTCCCATGTAGCTCCCCCTGTTTGCTCCTCTTTGAGTCAGTTGAATCTGAAGCTTTTTTCAGAAAGACAATTTTCCACTTTTTGGAGCAAGTAGACATGAGGCACTGGATTCAAATCAAAAGATTGGTCGGAATGTGATCAAGCACAATAGCTCAGGTGCGGCCATTAACATACACATTGAAGATTTCATGTATATGAAGTCTAAGGAGGGTGCCAGACATTCTCAGAGTCCAAAAATGTGTTATTTATTATTGGTTCACAAATGACAAAACAGAACAGCCAGCTTTTTTCAAGGCATCAAAGACCTCTCCTTCAGGGCTTAAACATAGTTGGTAGAAAGAAGTACTCCATGTCAGCACAAATCACCAGGCATTAACCATTTGCTGCAATGAGATACAACCATTATTGGTGAAGCCCTCCTCAGCCTGAAAGTGTTCACCCACTTTCCAAGGTGTGTGGTATGTCTTCTGGCCTTTGTAGACTCTTGAATATCTTGTTCTTGTGTGCAAGAGTTTGTGCCTCCAGGCTATACACTAGGGTTTCTTCGACTGCCCCTGTTCTGGCTTCAAACCACCCAGTGTCTTTGCAGTACCTTGCAGACCTTTTACCAGGCCCATTTCAAAGGGGGGTTTTACCCCATTCTAAACGTCCAAGTCTTTAAATGTGTCCATTTGTTTTCAATAATCCTTGATGGAATCCACCAGGTCAGGATTTGCTTCCTGTTCTGCCTCCCTAGTCTAAGCATTGAGATTGTGATTTTCTGTAACTGTTGTGGTGAGATGACATTGACTCTCAATCGCAGAACTGTGCAGACCTTTACAACAGCGAACATTGGATAGGTCAAAAGATCATATGTAATCTAGTTAGCAAAGTGTGCATGTGGATAAGATGCAGACTAGAACATAATGAAGAAAGGTGGTGCGATCTACGCAGAGCAAAGGCTGAACTATGGAGAGGGGTGGAGACAAATATCAGACAGCTGAAACAATTAACGGCATATCACAATGCATGTGTAACATGACACTTCTTAACCCTGGGGATTTATTGGCCGGTGTGGACTTTTTTCTGGTTCTCGCATTTCCGCGGTGGCAAGGGAAATCCAGCTTTTTTTGACTCCAATGGAACAGTATGTTCCTGCTTTCTCCGCTGTGTGCATTCCCAAGCATGGAAAATTGGTAGGCAGAGTTTCTCGGTTGTCAGTGTCTGGACCCAGGATAGTGGTCTGTGCACCAAGCCCTATTCCAGGACCTGTAACTCCAGTAAGGGACTCTGGATAAAGATCTGATATGTAGCTGAACAGGCTGGATAAGTTTGTTGCCAGGACCTAGAATCTGCTGGTGGACACAGTAAATGCACTACTGCTGCTTTGGTATAATTACCTCCCCCACCAGGCGTAAAATATGTACGGCACTCTGGTTAGAGTGAATCAAAGGGTTTTCACCTTTTGGAGTTTCTGCATGGTATAAAGCCTTAGTTGCAGCTGGTTGTGGTTATGTACCTTCAGGGGTGAGATCTCTGCCTTAGCCATTCTTTTCCAGACACTGGTGGCATTTTGCTCTACAAAAAAAAACTGGTTTGTCCAGTTCAAGAATTTTGTGTCTGAGTGGACTGGAAAGAAAAAAATAATTTTTGTTTTTTTCCATAAAGTCCCTTTCTCAGAGTTCTTGCCCCCCTCTGTGTATTATAGCCTTTTGACTTTTGGTACTGCTTGCTATAAAACTGAAGCTTCCAGGTCATGGGAGGGGTTTTACGAAGGGCTGGTGTTTTTTTGGAGGTCATTTGCTAGTATCCAGTTCTTCTGTAGGCAGTAGTATAACTCAGTTGTTCAAAACGCCTACATCCCTCAATGGATTCTGCTAAACACAAAAAAAGTTGAGTACAGATATCATATATAAGATAACCCATTGGAGAGCTATCTAATGATGTGCATCGCCCAGTGCCTATTGGTAACCGGAGACCTATAAGAAATTTGTTCTTTACTCCATATGATTTGGAGATGTATATAATATATATAATCAGGTCTGAGACAAGCTGTTTCTATACCCAGAAGACAAAGACAAAAGGAAAAATGGAGATAGATTCAATTCTACAGGATGTTCAAGCAACACTTCTGCTTCCAGCCAGCTGTCTGTGGCCACTAAAATTGCTGGAATAGAGGATGCATTTAAAAGTGCGAAAGAGTATGTTTCAGAGTGTACTATCTGGTTCATACTCTAATTTTCTCTTCTAGATACACTTTTTGCTTGTTAGGTTTTTAACTTCTGTTCCTTCATTATCTGAGAACGTTTAAACCTGGAGAGTGTGAAATTCTATATAGCACTTTGATGGGTGTACTTTGTATTTATTTTCTATTGCTTGTAGGGTTTTTTCTGTAGTGTAAATTGTGTGCTCATAATATTCTGTCTAGACTTCTGTTTCAAAAACAGATTTATACTGTACCCCCATAGTGAGCTTGAGTAAGACTGGATATCCAGTGAAGCTTGTTTTTGTAATTGCCTATATTTTTGAATGTTGCGATATACAACCTTTTAAGTTCATCGAATCAAAATATTTTTCCCATCTCCTCTAGGCGGGAGAGCTCCATCAATGGTAACCTTTCTATTTCTGTGGAAAGTAGTAAAAAGGAGGAAACATTTCAAATGAGTAATCTCTCTGCATTCAGCAAACTTGCTGGGACTAGGCAGATTAGTCCTGCCGGTCAAACTGGCTATTTTTTATTTTTGCTTTCTCCTCTCTCTCTCCCTCTCAAGAAGTTTGTCCCCAAGCCTTTCCAATCCATTGTCGCTTATGACTTTAAATGAGTCTGATCCGGTTGATTCATCTGTTGATCCGTTTGCTAATGGTGCTGATATACACATTGGTAATCTAGATTATAGGAGGTCTAGAAAGGAGCTTCTTCAGACACTGCAGGAAATATTTTCCAGATTTGGAAAGGTGAGTTATTTTAAATATGTACATACTGGAAAATACTGAAATTTGGGTAGAATATTTGCATTTGTAAAATGGCATACTGAGGTGAGTTTGTATGCACCCTGGTTCATCTCCATACTTGTGTAAGAGCGGTCTGTCTCTTGAAAATATAATTTTTTGTTTTGTTTCCATTTTGTTATGATTAGATAAAACATCTAGAGCTCAGTCCTCATACAGATTATCAGCTGAAAGCCACAGTTCAGATGGAAAACCTTCAGGAAGCAATCTGTGCTGTTAACAGTCTGCATAGATACAAAATTGGTAGTAAGAGAATCCAAGTGTCCCTGGCTACAGGAGCAACCAACAAATCACTATCTTTACTGAGGTACATGAAATCTGCCTGTTTAGACTTTCAAATGTAGGCTTTGCATTTCTAACATGTATACCTCATATTTATTTTTTCAATTATTATTCTTAATTACTTTTTTTCCCTGATCTCTTAAACAGTTTTGGTGCTATTTCTATCCTGCAAGATGCCCCAGCTTGCTGCTTACCTTTATTTAAATTCACAGAGATCTACGAGAAAAAGTATGTATTTAAAACTATAGTTTTATATAATATCTTTAACAAAATTTTCTTAGAAAATAACAGGAACAGGTACTAACCATTCCTGAAAAAAAATTTTTGCAAACTTAACTAGAGGTGCACCGAAATGGAAATTTCTAAACCAAAATAAAAAAAATTGTCAGGCCGAAACCAAAATTTTTTTTTATTTTAACTTTTTCAATTTTTTATATTTTTATTAAATATTTTTACTTTTTAGTGGCTTTGGGGAAATATTAGGGGTCTAAACAGACCCCTGATATCTCCCTTTTTAAAATGGAAAAATTTTGAGAACACGGTCCTCAACCTCTGTTTCTGCAGCCCCAGTTATCAATGAACAGGAATCCTTGAGTGTTCCAGTTCATTCATAACATGAGAACATAGTGTGTTTACTAGCACTACAACTATGAATGAACAGGAGGTGATGTAGATCACGTCCCATTCATAATTGAGGATATAGTAACCATACTATGTCCTCAATTATGTACAAACACTCAGCGATCACTGAGGAGGCTGAGTGGGGGCAGGGGGGAGAGCTCAGCCTCCTGTGACAACGCGTGCTGTCTCTGCCCACACACCGCTCTGCCAGACTGTTATAGGAGGCTGAGCAGTGTGGCAGGAGGGATGCCGGCCTCTCACAGCCCCTGGCCGGCTGTCACACTTTCTCTCCTCCCCGCTGGGGCACAGAGCAGCGCCCAGCGGGGAGGAAAGAAAGCAAGGATGCACCGATGGAAATGGCAATTTCGGCTTTTAGCCAAAAGTGCAATTTTCGGCCGATATATCGGTGTATCCCTAAACTAAACTTTTCTCTTTAGGATACAGTTCTCCATGCTTTCTTTCTATGGTTTATACTGCTGACTACTGTCTAATTGGAAACTAGGCAAAAACATTGAAAGAGGCCATCCTATAACCTATCCCTTACCATTCTTGCTTAGTTTAGGTGTCCTAAGGAGGATGGACATCTCTCGCCCATTTTGCTTGTTTAAAACTTCTGGGGATTTTTTTCTTCAATGAAGAGCTGCTGCTAGATTCAGAATAGATGTCTGAAATCCTGGTAGTCTCTCTATTTAGCCACAGAGCTGAATTACTTAAAATATATATTTCCCATAACGTCTTCCAGGACAGCATCACGAGATGGAATCTCCACCTAATGTCTTCCAGGACAGCATCTTGAGATATGGAGGCTCCTCCCAATCCCACGGGAAACGCTTCACCATTAACCTTTTGGCCAGCTCATCAGTCTTTGTGTTTCCTCAGGCAACCTGAGGATGTGCGTCACAGGAACGCTGGGGAGAGCCTCCATATGGTAAGTGGCCAGGGGGGCTTTCTCTTTCAAAATGTGGGTAACAGGCTTACCTAGGGCCTCCAGCTAGTCCCTCTAGCAAGGCAGGGGGTACGCTGGCTCTGCTTCCTCCTTCAGTGCCCTGCGAGGGCCAGGACCAGAATGGCATTGTTTCTTGGCTGAGTCGCGGGGAGAGGGTGTCCGCCGGTCAGAGGGGTTCGTCCTGTCTCCGCGGCTCCGGGAGCTTCTCCACAGCCAGACCGGGTGACCGTGTACATCACTTCCGGTGCGAGTGACGTCCCTTCCGGGCGCCGAAGCTTATGCGTTCCAAGCCTCGTTTTCGGCGCAGGAAGAAGGGGAGGGCCTTGGCTGGTGTTAATTGGCTCACTTCTCAGTAGTGACTAAGAAAGAGCTGGCGGTTTGTTTGAACACACTTCGAGGATGGATACTTTGCCTCTGCAGGCCTCTACAGCAGCAGATTCAGTTCCTTCAGGCACCAGCCCGGCACAGGTATGGGTGATTTTCTTATACATTCACCACCCTGGTTACTCTAACATTTTTTCCTTTCTCCACCTGGGGTTCCTTGGAGCAGGACCTTTTTTTTGGTGTTGAGGGCCACTTCTATTTTTCTGATTATTGGGATTAGAGCTTAGCCCTTGTTGTTTGTTTGTATTTCAGGCTAAGACTTCAGATAAGGCCAGAGTGGCAATTAAAAAAATGTGCGGTTTGCGCTTGCAAACTAAAGGTGCCCACACACCTTAAGACCATCGCGTGCGCACACTGGCCCGTTCGGCAGTTGTCGAACAAGCAGGCCACTAACCCTCCGAGAATCGTACGATTCTCAGCGGGTTTTCAAGCCTGCTTGTTCGACGGAAGACGTGCGACCGTACAGTAGAAACGGATTTCTCGCGATTCTCGTACGATAATCGTACTGTTTATGGGCACCTTAAGTTCTAACTATGCAAGGCCTTATGTCGGAAGTGTATTGACTACCTCTTTAAGGAAGAGTCCTCGTCAGCCTGTAGTAATCTTTAACAACAGTTAAGGAGGGGCTGGCTTCTACTTTCCAATCCTTCAGATCAGTTTTAGAAGTCTTTAAACCTAACCCCGGTGCCGCATCAACACCTGCTGCTACAGGGGCTGGCCAGACAACTCCCAGGGCATCTGTGGGGTTGTCTGAGGAGGAGCTTAGTGAAGCAGGCCCCTCATGGTTACTCTTCAGAAGATTTAAGCGCCCAAGAGGAAGTGTCTCCTACCTCCTAGATATAAATTTGTCCTTGGAGGATGTGGATGATTTGCTTGCTGTCATTTATGGTACTCAGGAGATCCATGAGGAACAGGTGCAACCTTCTCGCCATGACCTCATGTATTAGAGTCTACAACAAAAGAAGTTTAAAGTATTCCCTGTACATAATGGCCTCTCAGACGCAGTAGTCAGGGAATGGGCGGAGCCTGAGAAAAAGCCTCTCGGATCCACTAATCTCAAACGGAGGTTCCCGTTTGACGATGACCCACACCAAAGCTGGATGCTCCATTGGCAAAGGTTTCCAAAAGGTCAGATTTGCCCTTTGAGGACATGGGTGTTCTCAGAGCCAATGGACAAAAAAAATGAAGTTTTGCTTAAAAAGGCTTTGGACTCTATCCTCTTGAACTTAAAACCGGCCCTGGCCACGACTTGCATAGCTAGGAATTTGGAATTCTGGCTTCACAATTAAGGACCCACTTACTGTCAGGTACACCTAGGAAACAGTTGTTGGAGTCTTTTCCAATTCTGTTTAAGGCAGTGGGGTTAATTGCGTATGCCCCGGCTGAGTCAGTCAAGATGACAGCCAGGTTGTCGTCACTGGTTAACTCTTCCCGCATGGCTTTGTGGCTCAAAACAGGCTGTTTGGAGCAGAATTGGAGACATTTCTGGAAAGAAAAGCCGATAAGAATTTCCCAGAAAAAAAGCCTTTTCGGAGAACAGGTTAAGGCCCTAAGGTGGATAAGGCGGAGGTTCCCAAAAAACACTGGACGGGCCATAAGGGCAGGGGCAGAGGAGGGATTCTCTTTAACCCGCCCGCTCCATCGCCCAAGCCACAGTGACTGTCTACTTCTAGTGGGAGGAAGACTCGGGGACTTCCATCACTGGTCGAGGATCACCTCAAATCAATTTATTTAAAATCTGGTCAGGGACAGTTAAAGGTTGTAGTTCAACAATGTTCCTCCAAAGCGATTTTTGGCCACAAATCCTCCAAGACAAAGGGACAAAGCAGAGGCTCTGTCTATTGCTGGGGGATTTGGTGGACCAGAAAGGTTATCACTCGGGTCCCTGTTTTTAGAAGAGGGACAGGGATTTTATTCCCATGTATTTCTGGTAAAGAATCCTTCAGGGAAGTTTTTTCGGTTGATTCTCAATCTGAAACCATTAAATGGGGTGATTGCATACAAAAGATTCAGAATGGAGTCGATTTTCTCCATCAAAAACCTCCTACAGCCCAAGGCTTACATGGCTACTCTAGACTTAAGGGATGCATACCTCCATATTCCTATTCATCCGGCCTTTTAGCAGTTTCTCAGGCTCGCATTAAGGATTTGCCCCCGAGATTAATCATTACCATTTCCAGGCTCTCCCGGCCTGCAACTGGTAATTAAGACTTCAGGGAATCAGTATTATTCCCTATCTAGATGACATACTGTTGTCAGCTGCTTCAGCCTGCCGGTTAGAGAACGACCTAGCTGTAACACAGGATTGGCTGCAGGATCTGCGTTGGATATTTAATTTTCAGAAGTCAAACCTGATTCCTTCTCAGGAAATCCAGTACCTAGGTTACATTCTCAATACTGTGAAGCAGAACACCTACCTTCCCAACAAAAAGATTCTGAAGGTGGTGGCAGCGGTCAGTCGGTTGCAGGGGGAATCGGCCAATTGCGTTGAGAGCATGTATTGGGGCTCATGATCGCTTGCTTACCGGCAGTCAAATGGGCCGGATTTAATCAGCGCCCGCTGCAGTTTTTTTGTTTAAAGAAGTGGAATCGGGATCAGGGCAGTAGATTTGCTGGTCCTGATTCCTGCCTCAGTGAAGAGAGTCTGTGGTGGTGGAGAACAGACTCATCTTCAGTCTGGTCTGGAGTGGATGCCTCGGGCCTCCATGACGCTCACAACGGATGTGAGCTCCTGGGGGTGGGGGGCACATTCTGAGTCCCAGATGGCTCAGGGTCACTGGTCTCGAGAGGAAGCCAGAATGTCCTCCAATGGGACGAAACCATCAAGGGAGGCGAGGGACAACACTACACAAGCCCTGGGGGTCATCCACTCCGCCCGGTCGAACGCCACCCCATGCATAATTCTTTCCACCGACGCGGAGAAGGCGTTCGACAGGGTGGATTGGATGTTCCTCCAGGGTACGCTGGAGGCAATAGGTGTGGGACAACATATGCGAACCTGGATCGAGGTGCTATATTCAGGCCCCTCGGCCCAGGTAAGAGTAAATGGCACCTTATCTTCATGCCCAATCTCGAACGGCACCCGGCAGGGGTGCCCCCGTCACCTCTTTTATTTGTGCTGTCCCTAGAACCCTTTTTACGAACGGTCCGCGCCACACAAGACATCCACGTCGTTACAATTGGCCATACGGAACACAAGGTAGCCGCATTTGCGGACGACCTCCTTCTTTCTTGCATTACCGGACATTTCTATCCCTGTACTCCTTGAGGAATTCAG